TAGACCAGTGGATGGACGACAAGGATAGGCTCAGACGGAAGAGAGGGAGAGGCGAGGGATGAACAAGGTGAAGAACAACCACTCGAGAAGAACAATTACCTCTGTTAACACACCTGGGAAATAGAGACTTTGCTGTCATATAAGTTATATAAAGAGCCGCGAGGCCGGTATTGTTCGAGGCGTGTGTGTCGGGCTGTCACGGCGCCTCACAGCTCAGTGGACACCGCCTCGAATTCGTAGTCCTGAGTTTCAGGGTTCGATCCCCGGTAGAGGCGGAGACAAATGGGCAAAATGTTTCTTTCACCCTGATGCCCCTGTTACGTAGGAGTAAATAGGTACCTGGGAGTTAGATAGCTGGTACAGGCTGCTTCCTGGGGGTAGAGGGCCTGGTCGAGGACCGGACCGCGGGGACGCTAAGCTTCGAAATCAACTCAAGATAATCTCAAGATGATCTTAACACGTCTGGGACACCCAGCTGGGACACTGCCCAATCTGGCTGGCCAGTTACAGATTACAGAACTCCTTTAATTCAGCTTCATGTACCGGTGGATTACGATTCTTTGAAGTGTATTTCCATCCCAAATGATCAATTATATCTCTCCACCTGGCTCCTTCCTCTGGAATTCTCTCATCTTACACTGGAAAGACTTTCACTATTAACTTTTACATTAATAGCTGCAATGTTCGTGCTGGCGGTGTCTGGCACTACACGTAGCGGCCAGGGGGGCCAGATTCACGCAGCTCGTCCTCCAAACAAAGACCCAAAATTGATTCCATCCACCGTTAAACCCCAGCTGTTTATGAATGAAAAACGGTTTGCACACGACTCACAACTGCTGACGTTCGAACATATCCGGAACAAGTGCTTCACTGACGAATTTTGTTCGAACCACAACGCTATAAATGCTTCACCCACGTACTACAAATACAAATAATCGCCAACAGAACCTAAACACCTAACCTAACCTAACCTAACCTATGCCTATTTATACACAATATGCTAATATGTTATAATATTAATTTATAATTGCGAAAATTCCCGTTTTGAATGAACAGCATGTTAAAATTTATGAATGCGTCTGTGGGGTCGACCGCTGAATGTAATGGACTTGAGTCGAGGACGGGTTGATTCACGAAGCAGTTACTCAAGCACTTACGAACCTGTCCATCTTTTCTCAATCTTTGGCGGCTTTGTTTACAATTATTAAACAGTTAATGAGCTCCGAAGCACCAGGAGGCTGTTTATAACAATAACAACAGTTGATTGGCAAGTTTTCATGCTTGTAAACTGTTTAATAAATGTAACCAAAGCCGTCAAAGATTGAGGAAAGATGTACACGTTTGTAAGTACTTGCGTAACTGCTTCGTGAATCTTACCCCTGGCTTGTAAAGTGTCTAGAATGAGTGATCAAACACTTCATAACACTAGTGTGACATTCGTGGACATTTAGTTCTTGACTTAATAATGTGTTATAGAGCCGTGTGCTCTATCACTCGCACGGATCCTCCGGTCCTCTAAGTTCAAGTGTTAAAGACTATTAAGTACAAACATCTAGAGGAGAACAGTCAGTAGCCAAACAATGCTTCTTGTTATCAATTATATAATGTATATATATGATGTAACTATATAACCTGAGCTTGTAAAAACACCTTAATCACCTTCAGTGATTAAGTGCTTAATTGCACACTAGTTTCTTTATCAGCTATCTCACCCTGTCAGAGTAAAAGAGACAAATGTATGTGAATGCATGTGTGTGTATATATGTATGTATATATGTATGTGTACGTATATGTGTGTGTATGTATATGTATGTATATAAAGTATATATGGAAGCTGATCAGAATTACATTTCACCTTTGTAAATGCACATTAATGACACTGTAAAAGACACATCGAACACTTTATGTAGGGCATATGTAAATCTGTGTATCTATGTATTTACGTATGTAGGTTAGCTTAGCATTTTAAAAGCACCGAATCACCTTCTGTGGTTGATTGTTCAATAAACCCTTGAACTATATGTTTAACACTTCTCTAACCCTGTCCATGGGGGACAGAAGACAATGTATATATGCTGGTTAGCATTGTAAATGTCTGGCCACGTCTGTGGTAGAAAATAATAATAATAATAATAATAATAATAATGGTTCTTGCGTCATTACTTGATATAGCTAAGTTAGAGGCAAGATGGTGGCAGCGGTTAAATAATAAGTTCTCTCTGTAGCAGTTCCTTGGAGAGTTTTCCCTTGTTTCCGGTTGTAAACATCTGTGGTGCTCCATATTTCAGTTAGATTTAGATTTAGAATTATTATTCAGGTAAAGGTACTTACATTGAGGTACATGCATAATGTTAGATTTAAAGATAATACATTCAATACCTAAAGCCACTAGTTCATATTACATTACGTCTTAATTATCAGTGTTTCACTAACTAGTATCCTCGTTTTAACTCAATAAATCCAAGAGCAGCCAGTAGGAAGTGTTACTGGGTATTAATCACTATCTTCTAAGGGTTAAGATGATCACGTGGTACGACCACTCACAGTACCAATATTATCACCAAACATCAATTTCAAGAACTTTAGGGAAAGAACGTACACCACACAATACTATTTTTAAGGGGAACCAGAAATTTAACTAACGCCCTTACGAGGAGGACGGTTCACCTTGGGCAGTCCAAGAACTCTTGACTTGGTCCTGCGAGAGGACAAAGTGGCCGTCGTCGGTAGTAGCAGTGTGTTAGCTGCTGGTTTATGCAGTGTCGTACGGACCAACGTGCCCGGGATTGGTCAGGAAGAGTTACGCGACGACAGCGGTGCGTCTGTTGGGAAGTGTTGCTAGCGAGCGACTAGAGACTTCTGCCAGGGTGCTAGCTACCCCCTGTGTGTGTGAGTGTTTGAGACCCCTGTCAGCTTGTTGGTGAAGCCCTCTGCCAGTGTGTATCTGGAGAGCGGAGGTGGGGTGCTGGCACATCGTGACGATACAGTATGTGTGGACTGACCCATGTTGAGGAAGGTGAACTCACCGGTGTTTACCATTAAGTGTGGACGACGTGTACTTGGAAAGTGGATTCACCGGGATTTGACGAACACCGCCGATGTATTGTGTCCTGAATGAAAGCTACACTTTGTACATATGTGTAGTAATACTTTAATATAATATATATAGTGGTGAAGGTGTAATTGTGTATTGTTTACCCCCCCCCCCCCTTTATTCTTTGCACCACTACTCGCCACAGCCAGTTCTCGATAACTTACCACCAACTTGGGGTTGGATAAAGACGAAGAGGTTATAAGATACATTAACAGCAAGAACCCGGCTACTGGCCCAAAGTGGCCGAGACAGTACTCACTGGGTAGCTTGGGTGGGTGGTATCGGGTACACTGTAGCCACTCGAACCTGGAACCCGGGTCCGCGGGACCGTGACAACCGTCCATCGTGTCTTCCTGAGGGGAGACTGTGTCCCTCTGGTCGTCGTAGAGGCGAGGGGAGGGCCCCTGGCCTAGAGCCACACCGTCAAGGGCTCCGGTCAGGGGGCTACCCGCACCGTCAAGGGCTCCGGCCAAGGGGCTACCCGCATCCTCAAGGGCTCCCGCCAGGGGGCTACCCGCACCTTCCAGCTGGTCGTCTCCGGCCCCCAGCAGGTCAGCAATGGTGAAGCTCCGGCGCATGCGCGGATGGTGTGGGCGCTGGAGGGGCAGGTGCGGCGAGGTCTGGTCACGCCCCTGGGTCATCCCGGGCATAGAGTCCCCGGAGCTCTGTAGAGAGAACCGTCATTAGAGCTGCGAGGAAGAGCAGTGTGTAGAGCAACATACTCATATTAACTCAGAAGAAGAAGAAGCGGAATTAACACTAGATACCTAGTACACGAGTACATGTGGTGATGCCAGCAACACCGCGAGGAGTGTTCATCAGTGTTCATCAGTGTTCATCAGTGTTCGTACTGGTTGTCTAGGCCAGAATCAGCCATACAAGATAAGCTGTAGTTGTGGTAATTTGTATTACTAATACGTATTCTAATACTGTAGTGAATGTCTACGTATAGATAATTTCGAGTGATAGACTATATATATAAACCGTAAATCCTCAGAATGTGCAATGAAGCGATTTGTGGGAATTTGTTTGTTTGAATCAAATCAAACATTGATTTGTTTGTTTGATAAATAGAATTTTCATAGATTTTGAATTATTTTCATTTTGATTTAATTATTTTGTGTGACATTGCGTTGGAATTGAGCTGTGTTGTTTACCGTTGTTTATTTTTTTCTTTTATTTTTTTTCATTTCGTTTTTGTAACTGTTCTTATTTTTCAGTGATGGGAACATCAGATAATTTGATGTTCCCAATTTTCTGATGGGAACATCAGATCATTTGGGAATACATTGGACGAGGGAGTGGGTAATGGTGGGGAGGACTGGGGGGCAGGGGAAGGTTGACGTGGCTCACCAACGCACACGTGTTGCTGAGCCACAGCAACGCGTGGCCGGGTACAGCTAGTAGAGGAATAAAATTGGCAGATAATATTAAGTCTGATCACCTCACCGACTTCGGTATCCTTGTAGGGACAGACCACTACCATCGATTCATCACTAGCCCTACTAAATATCAGGGTATAACCATATTAAACTCTGCAGGAGGTAAATTACTCTCAGGCCCAGTACCAAGCCTGAGGAGACCTATGGCTGCAGATAAACAATACCAGTAGAAATCTAAATTTGTCAGCTGATTATATTTCTCCAGTAGCATTATACTAAGGAGATTACAGCTGACTATACCAACAGAGGTTGATGTTAATATCATCATTCAAAGCTGAAGATGAGTTCATGAGGCCTCAGTGGCAAATCAGTGAACAGGAGCCTAAACAGCTACAAGTCACTGCGACCAATGTCACTGAACCCACAGCAGTCTCAGAACCATTCTTGACTTTAATGATGAGCTATTCAATAATCTGAATCAATTAACTAAATTAAACCCCCAATTTGTCAGCCAAATAAACGCCAGCAAATAAGCACAAGATAATACATTAATTGACTGACTATATAAATCCAACGACTGATTTTGATACATTTATTATTTAATTGTGATGTATTCCATGGGCCTCATTGTTTATATATCAGTGACCAGTTACCTGAACAAACTTCAAGTTATATCTAATGTCACTGATCTCACTGCAGTCCCTGAATCATACTTGACTGTAGTACTTGATCACATTCAGTCTTCTGGGTTAAATAATATGTAATTAGGCTTGAATTTTAGCCTCACAAGAGTTAACAGGGAAATGAAATCGCATTAGACTTCCACCCCCTGCAACTCTAGTACGGGACATCCGTCCTGTACGAACTGATGCAGAAATGTTTCATTACTAACATCAAATTATTCTAATCCTTCTGAGGAGGAGTATCGGTGTTCGTCTGCTCTAAATATTGGACCTCGACCCGTGTTCGGCCCCTTGGGAATTATGTCGGAAAACCCCCATCATTATTCCAACTTTCAAATTAACTCATTGAAGAAGAAGCGGAATTACCAGTAGTTACCTAGTACACGAGTACATGTGTTGATGCCAGCATCACCACGAGGAGTGTTCATCAGTGTTCATCAGTGTTCATACTGGTTGTCTAGGCCAAAATCAGCCATACAATGTAAGCTGTAGTTGTGGTAATTTGAATTATTAATACGTAGTCTAATACTGTAGTGAATGTCTACCAATAAATAATTTCAATTGATAGACTATATCGCATTCCCCGTGGCACAGTGGTAAGACACATACACGCCTGGCGTTTTGCGAGTGCTTTGGCTTGGGTTCGAATCCTGGTCGGGGAGGATTGACTGGGGCGCCAATCCTTAACTGTAGCCTCTGTTCACCCAGCAGTGAATGGATACCTGGTTGTTAAACTATTCGGCGGGGGGGTGGGGGGGGGGGGTCGTATTCTGGGAAAAATAATGATTAAGGACGTGCCCAAAATGCTACACTTGCTGGTAACTTTACAAGAATGTAGAACTCTCATATATATATCACCTATAACCCGCAGAATGTGTAAGGAAGCGATGTGCGGGATTTTCCAAACCATACACTTCACTTTAAACATATTACTTTGCTATCGAAAAAATATAAACATAAAATATAAATTAGTATATAAATAAATAATTAGTATATAAATAAATAATTAGTATATAAATAAATATAAATCCCAAGACTCATTTCCCCACAGCGGTGTCACGAGGAGATATTTTCATTTCCTAAATATATTTAGGTGAGGGCTGAGTAAAGCTTGAAGGTGAGTGACTCAGAGATGAGTCAAAGGTAAATTTAGGTACACCATTGCACTTCTCTTGAACGTATTAAAGGTCCACGGTGAATGTCCTGTATTGTAGAGTAATTAAACAGTTGGAGAGGATAGTTACAGCGCCCCGGCTGCTGTAACCATCGTTACATTCACTGTGAACCCATTAACCATCACCATTAATCACTATTAATCACCATTTACCGGGCTGGTCTTGGAACCTGGGGGGGGGGGGGCTAACAAGGGATTGTGGTGTTAATTCAAAGTTTAACTCATGTTAAGGGAGCCGGTCGGCCTAGCGGACAGCACGCTGGACTTGTAATCCTGTGGTCCCGGGTTCGATCACGGGCGCCGGCGAGAAACAATGGGCAGAGTTTCTTTCACCCTATGCCCCTGTTACCTAGCAGTAAAATAGATACCTGGGTGTTAGTCAGCTGTCACGGGCTGCTTCCTGGGGGTAGAGGCCTCTTGAGGTTATCTTGAGATGATTTCGGGGCTTTAGTGTCCCCGCGGCCCGGTCCTCGACCAGGCCTCCACCCCCAGGAAGCCAGCTGACTAACTCCCAGGTACCTATTTACTGCTAGGTAACAGGGGCATTCAGGGTGAAAGAAACTTTTACCCATTTGTTTCTGCCTCGTGCGGGAATCGAACCCGCGGCACAGAATTACGAATCCTGCGCGCTATCCACCAGGCTACGAGGCCCCCATTACTGGTCTGGTCGAGGCCTGGTCGAGGACCGGGCCGCGGGGACACTAAAGCCCCGAAATTATCTCAAGATAACCTCAAGATAACGAGATCAGTGTTTTTGTGATCATTGTTGCATATATTAGTATTATATAACCTTCCCTTCTACCCTTGTTATATTATTCTCTAACTATTTATAGTGATTAAGAAATACAATTGTTAACGGTGAGTCTCTCGACAACCACGACTGACTCGCCCCTCTAACTACCACGACTGACTCGCCCCTCTAACAACCACGACTGACTCGCCCCTCTAACAACCACGACTGACTCGCCCCTCTAACAACCACGACTGACTCGCCCCTCTAACAACCACGACTGACTCGGCCCTCTAACAACCACGACTGACTCGCCCCTCTAACAACCACGACTGACTCGCCCCTCTAACAACCACGACTGACTCGCCCCTCTAACAACCACGACTGACTCGCCCCTCTAACAACCACGACTGACTCGCCCCTCTAACAACCACGACTGACTCGCCCCTCTAACAACCACGACTGACTCGCCCCTCTAACAACCACGACTGACTCGCCCCTCTAACAACCACGACTGACTCGCCCCTCTAACAACCACGACTGACTCGCCCCTCTAACAACCACGACTGACTCGCCCCTCTAACAACCACGACTGACTCGCCCCTCTAACAACCACGACTGACTCGCCCCTCTAACAACCACGACTGACTCGCCCCTCTAACAACCACGACTGACTCGCCCCTCTAACAACCACGACTGACTCGCCCCTCTAACAACCACGACTGACTCGCCCCTCTAACAACCACGACTGACTCGCCCCTCTAACAACCACGACTGACTCGCCCCTCTAACTACGGCCTCAATTGGCTATAATCCATATAAATAAAAATGGAAATGTTCGTTTGTACATAACCGATAATCTCAGAAAGTTCTTCACCGATTGATTTGAAATTTTGACACAACGTTCCATTCGCATCCGAGCGGGTTTATATATATATATATATATATATATATATATATATATATATATATATATATATATATATATATATATATATATTATATAGATGTCACGTCTGTGACGGGAAAAAACATTCTTTTTTGAAAAGTTTTGTTTTTCGGTGTTTTTCATGTGAAGGAAATCTTCGAAACCTCTTTACTCAATGCTTTGAAATTTTGACACAACGTTCCATTCGAATACGTGGGTGTTTTTACATACCTACTATATACATGCCTCACCTCTAACAAGAAAAAAACATCCTATTTTTTGAAAAACAGCGCCATCTGTAGGACGTAAGACCAACACACGTTGTAATCTCCGAAAGTTCTTTACTGATTGCCTTGAAATTTTGACACAACGTTCCATTCGAATACGTGGGTGTTTTTATATACCTACTATTTAGACGCCACACCTGTGACAGGTAAAATCATGTTTTTTTTTTTTTTAAACAGCGCCATCTGTTGCACGTAAGAGCAACACACGATGTACAAAATATGTTACGATTCCATTTCAATGTTTCCGATGCATGTATATTTCCGATGTATGCATGCATGTATAACACACCGAGTCCCCCCTCCCCCATAAGACCCCACAACAAACTGACTACCTTCTGGGTACTACTCACTGCCGGGGTATACAGTTTACTCAGCGGCAAGTTTACTCCAGGAAGAACAAGATGTACTACCGGCACCCTATATGAATTATCCCGGGACAGAATTATCCCGGGACAGAATTATCCCGGGACAGAATTATCCCGGGACAGAATTATCCCGGGACAGAATTATCCCTGGACAGAATTATCCCGGGACAGAATTATCCCTGGATAAAATTATCCCGGGACAGAATTATCCCGGGACAGAATTATCCCTGGACAGAATTATCCCGGGACAGAATTATCCCTGGATAAAATTATCCTCGGGTATAACAATGGATATCAATTGAATAAGTTTAGATTTAGAAAAGACCTGGATAAATACTGGTTCGGTAACATGGTTGTAGATCTATCGACCCAACTACCCAGCAACACAATAGACATAACATAAGACTCTAGGCAACTTCAAAAGGCCCAATGGTGCCTCTGCAGTGGTCCAGACTTAGGATCCCTTCATTGTTTCAAGCGCAGGTTAGACACGTATACGAATGAGTTTGGGTGGATATAAACGGGAGCTGCCTCGTATATGCCAATAGGCCTTCTGCAGTTACCTATATCATTATATATTATAATCCTATTTACTAAATTGATATATGATGAGAGACATACCTGTGTGGTGATGGGAGACATACCTGTGTGGTGATGGGAGACATACCTGTGTGGTGATGGGAGACATACCTGTGTGGTGATGGGAGACATACCTGTGTGGTGATGGGAGACATACCTGTGTGGTGATGGGAGACATACCTGTGTGGTGATGGGAGACATACCTGTGTGGTGATGGGAGACATACCTGTGTGGTGATGGGAGACATACCTGTGTGGTGATGGGAGACATACCTGTGTGGTGATGGGAGACATACCTGTGTGGTGATGAGAGACATACCTGTGTGGTGATGGGAGACATACCTGTGTGGTGATGGGAGACATACCTGTGTGGTGATGAGAGACATACCTGTGTGGTGATGAGAGACATACCTGTGTGGTGATGAGAGACATACCTGTGTGGTGATGGGAGACATACCTGTGTGGTGATGGGAGACATACCTGTGTGGTGATGAGAGACATACCTGTGTGGTGATGGGAGACATACCTGTGTGGTGATGGGAGACATACCTGTGTGGTGATGGGAGACATACCTGTGTGGTGATGGGAGACATACCTGTGTGGTGATGGGAGACATACCTGTGTGATGATGGGAGACATACCTGTGTGGTGATGAGAGACATACCTGTGTGGTGATGAGAGACATACCTGTGTGGTGATGAGAGACATACCTGTGTGGTGATGAGAGACATACCTGTGTGGTGATGGGGGACATACCTGTGTGGTGATGGGAGACATACCTGTGTGGTGATGGGAGACATACCTGTGTGGTGATGGGAGACATACCTGTGTGGTGATGGGAGTGTGGCGTGCCTGTGGGAGTCGTGGGAGGGCGGCCAGCTGGGAAGTGTGGATGGCTGATAGCATGGGAGGGAGGGACAGGTAGCCACCTGAACCGCCCATTGACAAGCCTATAAGGAGAGAGAGAGAACACATTCGTTAGTACACAAATATTTTTGACTATAGGCCTATAGCTCCTGGAACTAGAGCCATGTTTTCAACATTGTGCTTTGTTAACATGTTAAAATGTTGCTGATTCTAGGTATTGTTTAAACTAGCAATTGTACAGGTTATACTGTAGTACAGGTTATACTGTAGTACAGGTTATACTATAGAAGCTAAAGTTGTATAAAAAAAGGTTGCAATTGATATTAATCTAGATAAGATGTCGTCACATTAGCATTTCGACTCATAAGTATAATCACTTGGCCATATATCGTATACTTTAAGTGTGTGTGTATACTTAAAGTATGCGTACTTTAAGTAAACTTTACGTATACTGTGTGTATTGAGACGGGATTCATCTGAAGTTCTCAAGTGCTCTTATTGACCATGGCTCATGGCTCTTAGGGAGCCGGTCGGCCGAGTGGACAGCACGCTGGACTTGTGATCCTGTGGTCCCGGGTTCGATCCCAGGCGCCGGAGAGAAACAATGGGCAGAGTTTCTTTCACAATATGTCCCTGTTACCTAGCAGTAAAATAGGTACCTGGGTGTTAGTCAGCTGTCACGGGCTGCTTCCTGGGGGTGGAGGCCAGGTCGAGGACCGGGCCGCGGGGACACTAAAGCCCCAAAATATTCTCAAGATAACCCTCGAGAGATAACCCCCTCCTACTCAGCGTGATACAGTCGGTCCACGAGGACACTACTCTGCAGGGGGACGGGTGTGTGGTGGGGGCCTGTCACAGGCGGGTTGAGAGCCAGGTCCTTTGCACTCTTCTAAGTAAGGTTGGCTATCGTTGCTATCCCCAGTCACTACCATGAACAGGTGTTTGTACATCTTGTGCTGGTGATAGCACCTGGTTTTTTATCTTTGTTATCTATGATATAGATAAGCTTTAAACTAAGCTTTAAGCTTTAAGCTAAACTACTCTATCCGTTTGAGATGTATTTTGTTGTCTCAATAAACGTACTTGAACTCTGGCTACGATATCTTGTTACGATAATCTGGCTACGATATCTTGTTACGATAAGCTGGCTACGATATCTTGTGATGATAGTCTGGCTACGATATTTTGTTACGATAAGCTGGCTACGATATCTTGTGATGATAGTCTGGCTACGATATCTTGTTACGATACGCTGGCTACGATATCTTGTTACGATATCTTGTTACGATATCCAGTGACGATAATCTGGCTACGCTGGGGTTGTAAACCAAGTCTACAACACGCGGTAAACTCCGTCTGGGTGTCGGAGCTGAAATGTGTATAATCATTGGGAAGTTTTGGAGACTGAATAGTTTACCTCGAGGACCACCTGGCCAGTGGTTTACCTCGCTTCTTGGTGAGTATACACTGAGGGTGTACCAGGGTATACACTGAGGGTGTACCAGGGTATACACTGAGGGTGTACCAGGGTATAAACTGAGGGTGTACCAGGGTATAAACTGAGGGTGTACCAGGGTATACACTGAGGGTGTACCAGGGTATACACTGAGGGTGTACCAGGGTATACACTGAGGGTGTACCAGGGTATACACTGAGGGTGTACCAGGGTATACACTGAGGGTGTACCAGGGTATACACTGAGGGTGTACCAGGGTATAAACTGAGGGTGTACCAGGGTATACACTGAGGGTGTACCAGGGTATAAACTGAGGGTGTACCAGGGTATAAACTGAGGGTGTACCAGGGTATACACTGAGGGTGTACCAGGGTATACACTGAGGGTGTACCAGGGTATACACTGAGGGTGTACCAGGTTATACACTGAGGGTGTACCAGGGTATACACTGAGGGTGTACCACGGTATACACTGAGGGTATACCACGGTATACACTGAGGGTATACTAGGGTATACGCTGAGGGTGTACCAGGGTATAAACTGAGGGTGTACCAGGGTATACACTGAGGGTGTACCAGGGTATAAACTGAGGGTGTACCAGGGTATAAACTGAGGGTGTACCAGGGTATACACTGAGGGTGTACCAGGGTATACACTGAGGGTGTACCAGGGTATACACTGAGGGTGTACCAGGGTATACACTGAGGGTGTACTAGGGTATACACTGAGGGTGTACCAGGGTATACACTGAGGGTATACCAGCGTCAGTATAAAGGGTGCCAGTGTACAAGGGGGGGGGGAGGTGACCCTGCAGGTGTAGAGAGAGACCGGGCCCCCCAGGATAAGTGTTCCGAAGCCAACCATCATAGATCATTAGATCATTACTGCATAAACACTAAACTTTAGACCAAAACACTCCGTTAAAACCCTCGTTCACCTCCAACCAATTATTCAAATTACTTCGCGAGGGAGAGCTGAACGAAACGCTTCCCACAACAGCTCGACTTTTGCATAAATGGTCCATCGCCCTGTGGCGCGGCCATGGCCGGTCCTAGCCATAATATATGGCCCCCAGACCGCTTGACAGACAGGTATCCGGAGCTCATCTATATCACTCAAAAAGTTAACAAAACATAAAGTTATTTCTTGGATATAAAGCACTTGTCAGAGGCGAGTCTGATACTTTTATAAGTGATCTTTGATGGTGGAGACGGCAACACTTTTTAGTGTGGATGACCACACTTTACAACTTGGAATGTCACGAGTCTCTTTACAAAGGTCAAACGCCACACTCTAAAAGGTCGTTTGCGACTTATTCAACACTGCAACTCCGCCCGATTGAAAGAACTAGCAACTTCACTGAGAATTTTCCTCGTTGGCTCACTTCATAGACAATGAGAAATAATTCACACCAAAACTCACCACAGTCACAAACAATTGATAACATTAAGAGATATGACGAGACGTTTTGTCTGGTGATGGCTTAGTGGCTTGGTGGTGGTGGTGGTGGTGGTGGTGGTGGTGGTGGTGGCTTGGTGGTGGTAGTGGCTTGGTGGTGGTGGTGGTGGGGGCTTGGTGGTGGTGGTGGCTTGGTGGTGGTGGTGGTGGCTTCGTGGTGGTGGTGGTGGCTTGGTGGTGGTGGTGGCTGGGTGGTGGTAGTGGTGGTGGTGTGGGCTTGGTGGTGGTGGTGGTGGCTTGGTGGTGGTGGTGGCTGGGTGGTGGTGGTAGTAGCTTGGTGGTGGTGTGGGCTTGGTGGTGGTAGTGGTGGTGGCTTAGTGGCTTGGTGGTGGTGGTGGTGGTGGCTTGGTGGTGGTGGTGGCTTGGTGGTGGTGGTGGTGGCTGGGTGGTGGTGGTGGGGGCTTGGTGGTGGTGGTACTAGCTTGGTGGTGGTGGCTTGGTGGTGGTGGTGGCTTGGTGGTGGTGGCGGTGGTGGTGGTGGCTTGGTGGTGGTAGTGGCTTGGTGGTGGTGGTGGTGGCTTGGTGGTGGTGGTGGTGGTGGCTTGGTGGTGGTGGTGGTGGTGGTGGTGGCTTGGTGGTGGTGGTGGTAATGGTGGCGTGGTGGTGGTGGTGGCTTGGTGGTGGTGGTAATGGTGGCTTGGTGGTGGTGGTGGTGGTGGTGGTGGCTTGGTGGTGGTGGTGGTGGTAGTGGTGGCGGTGGTGGCTTGGTGGTGGTGGTGGTAGTGGCTTGGTGGTGGTGGTGGCTTGGTGGTGGTGGTGGTGGTGGTGGTAGTGGCTTGGTGGTGGTCGTGGCTTGGTGGTGGTGGTGGTAGTGGCTTGGTGGTGGTGGCTTGGTGGTGGTAGTGGCTTGGTGGTAGTTGTGGTTTGGTGGTGGAGGTGGCTTGGTGGTGGTGGCTTGGTGGTAGTAGTGGCTTGGTGGTGGTGGTGGCTTAGTGGTGGTGGTGGCTTGGTGGTGGTGGTGGCTTGGTGGTAGTATTAGGGGCTTACAGCTGTGGTTGTTTGGTAGCGACTACTTGTAAATGCTATTGCACCTATTCGCTTACACTGGCTTACTACTAACACTGGCTTACTACTAACACTGGCTTACTACTAACACTGGCTTACTACTCACACTGACTTACTACTAACACTGGCTTACTACTAACACTGGCTTACTACTAACACTGGCTTACTACTAACACTGGCTTACTACTCACACTGACTTACTACTAACACTGGCTTACTACTAACACTGGCTTACTACTAACACTGGCTTACTACTCACACTGACTTACTACTAACACTGGCTTACTACTAACACTGGCTTACTACTAACACTGGCTTACTACTAACACTGGCTTACTACTAACACTGGCTTACTATTCACACTGGCTTACTACTGATACTGGCTTACTACTCACACTGGCTTACTACTCACACTGGCTTACTACTCACACTGGCTTACTACTCACGCTGGCTTACTACTCATACTGGCTTACTACTCACACTGGCTTACTACTCACACTGGCTTACTACTGATATTGGCTTACTACTCACACTGGCTTACTACTGATACTGGCTTACTACTGACACTGGCTTACTACTGACACTGGCTTTGTGGGAAATTTTTACCCACCATATCTAATAATCATCTAAGAAATGTATAATTTCTATATCATATCTAAATCATATCAAAATCATATCTAAATCGTATCAAAGATTCATTATAGCTTGATCCTGGATGACAATGGCACCATGAACACGTACGCAACAGGGGCCCTTTTGATGCCTACGTGACTTTGTACATGATCTTTCAAGGATCCAGAAGCTTCTAGAAGGACTTCTTAATTAAAAAACTATTGGAACATTGATTCAACATCCGGTAGGATTAAAAATCAAATCCTTAATAAGATTCAGTGGTACTTACAAATACTACTTATAATCTTTAAATCTTATATCTAATTATATTATAATCACATCTTATCTTAATCATAAGTCTAGACTGTAAAAATAATCAATCAATATTCATAGAAGGCTACCGTGCTCAGAGAGCATGGTAGGGCGATGGGGGGAGTGAAGCGCCCACCAACGATGCCTCGCGGCACTCCGCGTTTGTTTACAAAAGAGTGAACAAGTGACTGATCCTTAGCGAACATTACCAGCTCAAGGACACCTTATCTAAT